ATCTAATGTCATTTGGTTCTTCTTTAACCTTAAAAGGCCACTTACATTCTACAACAAAACTGTTAGGTGGTCTAGGTACAGGAGTCCAAGTCTTATTTAACCTGAGTGACTCTATTTCACTTTGCATAACACAAAGCCATTTTTAGGATTCTTTAGATGTTAGGGCTTCCTTATAGGATTTAGGTTCATTTAGGTCTAGGGTTTCAAAGACAAAGAAGTCAAATAGAGAGAGAAGTGCCACATGTATGGAAAGCAAAGTCAGTCATGCTATAAGAAAGTCTCCTAATTCTCCTAATTATTATGATCAACATCCTCCTCCAACAACAACAACATGCAACATCTCATTATTTCCAGGTTCACGGGAATGCTCCACCTCATTAGAGGTAGAGGAGTTTTCATGTTCACTTTGAGAAGAATCAAAGGAGCCATAAGAATCAGAAGAATGAGAAGATTCAGATTTGTCCATATCAACAAACAAAGGGTCAGCAGCAATAGGGATGGGCTCCACCTCACCGGGAGGTTTCCTAGACTCAGGATCAGGATGATTTACATTTTTAATTAAACACGGAATGTCAGACTCATTAAACACAACATCCCTGCTGACAATGACTTTAAAACCAATCTGATTCCTATCCCAAATCTTATACCCTTTCACCCCTTCAGGATAACCCAGGAAAACACCCTTTTTAGATCTAGGTTCAAGTTTATCAGTCTGTTGGTGTACATAGTCTGCACACCCAAAAATCCTTAAGTTTGGCATATCAATGGGTTTCTTAGAGAAAACAGACTCATGACATTTTCCCCCTAAAGGCACAAAAGGAGACCTATTGATCAAGTAGGTGGCATTGTTCATAGCTTCTCCCCAAAACTTCTTGGGGAGGCCAAAAGTAGCCATCATACTTCTGACTTTGTCAAGGAGGGTCCTACTCATTCTTTAAGCTATCCCATTTTGTTGGGAGTGTAATGCACATTCTTGTGTCTCCTAATCTCACACTCAACACATAGCCTATCCATATTGATCATGATGCAATCAACATGTGACCCATTATTATTGATCATGATCAACAATACCTCTCATGTGATCTTCTTCTTACTCATCCACAATCATGCTTTTTCACTTTATTTACACTTTCTTAAACTCATATCCAAATCTAATTAAAGTGGGAACTGTTTTATGAGATGGCGGAAGCATTAAATAGAGTTACATTCGGGTAGGACTCCATGACGCTGTTTTCTGGGTCCGCCACTGCATATAGAAGGAGATATATTTACATGTGTAATTGGGATATTATCTGAAACAACAATCACTCAATTATTGTACAAATATCCAAATCAAGACAAGTTGCAACACTTTCAGAGGTGTTCTAAAGAAAAAAAAAGTTGCTTTTAGTTTATGGTTTTCCATCTAAATAAAAATCTTCCATATCATTAAGAACTAGACTCACCCGAAAAGGTACTGAACAAAAAATCTAACACGTCCCTTATGTTCAAAATGACAAGTTAGCTTCTGAGGTGAAAATGAACCAAATAGATTCCAAACAAAATAATACATACAAAAAAGTAACTTATTTAGGCATTTCTTTTATGAATATTACATAGTACTAAATTATATACCGTAGACAAAAATCTGACATGTTTTTAAGTTTTCCAAAAATGTGTCTTACAATATCATTTTGTCCTTATTTAATGTTACATTTATTATTTTGATATTTCATTTTTGTAATTAATTATTAATCAATGCCTCTAGCCACCCTAATGACTGTCACCCGCCATCGCAGCCGTCGCCACAGTACTTCGTTGTCTACATTCTCTACTGACTCCGTTTCCCATGCCCCACGGTCGCCCCCTTCACAGGGACTTCGTTATGTATCTTCTTTAGGGACTTTGTTTCCCAACACCATATAGTGACCGTTTTATAGTGACTCTGATCTGTCTTTGTTGTTGTCGCCACCACAGTGACTTCGTTATCTACCTTCTTCAAGGACTCTGTTTTCTTGCGCCATATAGTGACCATTGTAGAGTGACTATCACACGCAGGAACATTACATAGTTGCTCCATCCATCTTCACTTCCCATTGTAACTAATGCTAAACCCGACCAACCCTCTTTATTTATGATGGGAGTGACGGTAGTCATTTCTAAACCCGATGGCGATTACAGTGACACTACCCCTCCCCTACAACTGCAACACACAACACAACAAATACGGGTGGAGCCATGGCACTTTGGCAGTACAAGGAATATGTTTTGGAAAAAAATTCACACAGAATTTTTTACAATAAAAATATAAACATTTTTAAAATTTGGGTTGGGTCAGGTTTGCCCCCCTAGCTATGCCCCTGACAACAACCAGCCAAAACTCACTGCCCTAGCCAAAAAATCACAGCCCCATCCAAAAAACCACTGCCCCGACTTTTGTGCAATCAATTCAAGCTGTCATCGTGCACCCACCACAGCCCTTTATTCCCATACACCAAAATTATCTGAAACTAAGTCGTCGTCTAGTCGAACAACAACACCGGCAAAGACGAACGATCAAGGGATATATATATTTGGATCTAGTGGTGACAACGTTTTGGGAAGAGAAGAAAGAAGAAGTTGAGCAAAGTTGTGAAGGCGGCAGGCGATGACCGTCGATAAACAGGCAGAGGTGTGGGATCCTATCGGTGATTATACTAGTCAGCTAAGCTAGGCAGCGGTGCAGATTACTGTGGGTGGAGATAGAAAGTGGTGCAATTGCTATCGGAGAAATTAGAGTACGACGTCACATCAAGGAAGGCGGGAGCTCGAGGTGAAGCCATGATGGGATCCGACACGCTTAGGGCACTCATATCGGAGAAGATAGGGATGGATCGAAGATGCAAAATGAGTGATCGAGGCGGCTTATATGTAGGAGGTTGTGACCGAAAGATATGATACGCAGGTCGATTAGGGTTAGGGGCCTATTCATTATTCCTTATTTAGTCATTTTTTATCCAACTTGAAATCTGGTCATATATTTGTCTAATAAAACTTTAGGGGGGAAATCGTATTTTTAGTCCCTCAAATAGTCACCATATTGAAATGTCGACCCGTGTTTCCGAGTTTGTAAATGTCACCCCTCTATTATCCAAATTGTTGTAAAACTTTGTGTTGCTATATGATTTACATTTGATTTATTTATTTATTTATTTATTTATTTAAAACTTTGTAACGATTAATGTTCTTACTCATTAATAAAGAGACAAAAATTCTTGAACATTCTTCAGACATTGAGTTTTCTTTTTAATAAAAATAAATTTAGATTCTTATGTTTCATTTATTCTTGTAGAACTTTGTGTTGCTATATGAATTACATTTGGTTTATTTATTTATTTATTTATTTATTTATTTATTTATTTATTTATTTATTGCTTATCACACTTTGTATTATACATAGGAAACTACTCACAGTAGGACTAAAACATACTCCCTACGGTTCTAAATCATCTTTACACTTTTCTTTTTTTGTCAGTACCGGATTATACTTTACACTTTCTTATTTGCCTTACAAATCTACACCAAACAATGCAAAACACTGTCAAACGGTGTCAAACAGTGTCAAACAGTATACTCTACAGTAAAGTCAAATTTATTTCCATACTATGTGTGAAGTCAAAGTGTAAAGATGATTCAGAACCGGAGGGAGTAGCATTTTTCTTAAAGTATGATCATGTGTTTGATTTTCTTTAAATATGACTAAATGTTACATATTCATCCCAAATTTAATTAATTAATCGATATAATTTATTGTCCCTAATTCCCTTGCATACCAAAGCGATTTTGTCGGTGATGGACCAATCAGATGACGACGGCAGGAAACTCCGGTAATGGAGGCGGACAGGCAGATCAGTAGCGACAACCTAGGTAAAAATTCTGACGATCAATAGTGACGATTAGGGGTGGGCAAAAATCCCGGTCCCGGTGTCCCAAACCAAAATATCCCGATACCGTTCTGAAACTATCCTGATCCATTTAGAAAGCAATTTTTTCATCCCGAACCGGTCCCGCGCCGATATTAATCGGGACAGGAGCAGGATAGCTATAAAATATCATGTCCCGACCTGGTGTCCCATTTGAAATTAATATGTTATTTTAAATTTTTTAATACTATGTAATAACCAAACTCAATTAAAACTTTCGATCTAATCCTTAGTCTTCCTAGTGTAATTTTATCTTATTTCATGTCTCTTTTAGTCTCATTTCTTTTGTTTCTGTTGATTAAAATTTGTTTAGTTCTCATTCCAATACTGATCCATAATATATTATTACGTGCGGAATACTATCTATGATGGAATAACTACTAGCTACTCCAAATTCTAGTGTTGTTATAGATTTAATATTTTCCCAAATAACTACAAGAATGTGTGTGTGTGTGTGTGTATATATAGTCTTTATAGATATGATATTTAATTTAATGTGGTATTGAAAAATTACAAGTGTACTACAAAGTATAAAAATATTTTGTGCTACTATTCTACTAGAGGAAACACAAGATTAGGGGGACCAAAAAAATTTGCAAGACAAAAACTAAAATTTGTTAATTAAAGGTTTGACATAAAATTTTAGGGAAACTAAATTTGCAAAAATATTTACGTCTTTATTTTAATGTTAGCTTATTTTATATCACATTGCACAAACGCATATTTTTCTCAGGTTGTTCCGGTCCCGTTTTAAATGGGACAACATTAAGATAAAGACTTATCACGTACCGTACCGGACCGTTGTTATAAAACCGGGACGGGATTGGGATAAGCCAAATCACGGACCGTCCCGGACCGTGCCCAACCCTACTGACGATCCACTTTTGAAAATCTATGAAATCTTTAAAAATTAATAATCTATGAAAAGTTAATTTAAAAATCAATAAAATCCATTCATAAAAAAAGGGATGACCATAAATTTATAAGTTCATTTACTTTTTTTTTTTAAAAAGTCTATATATCGTTATAAATTTAATACTGTAGATTAAATAGACGCTCATCACTTTTGACAGCTCTGAAAATGTAAAACCAGGAACCGGAAGTCTGGAATAAACGGCGCTGATCGGTGATTTACCCGCGTAGTCACAACAGCTGGACGACAATGGCGGAGTGGCAAAAGATGAAGACGACACATAGATAGGAGAGATCACCGTAACCCACCGCTCGGAGCTGGAGTGCTGAACTGACGTATGATACCTTCTTTTCCTTCGTTTTAAGCCCCCCCCCCCCCCCCCCCCCCCCCCCGGTGAAGAAAACTCATCCTCACCCTCGTACTCGGAGTTAGAACCACTTCTTCGTTTTGTTTATCCGGCCGGATATTCATTTCCTTTTCGTTTTGTTGATAAATGGCTTCTATTGCAGCAATCGAACTTCAGGAACGGGGGATTCCGCCACTGCTTCACAACCGGAATGCACGTTCGGCACCTTCTGATTTAAGCCTGATACACGTGCAAGTGGCTGGATAGTATATTCTAGGAAAAGGAAAGGCAATCAAAGGTTTATGGAAACAAATCAGGAGCAAATCAATAAGGAGACATAATATAAAGAAGAGCACAATTAGTGGGATTACTCATTAATGGCTACAGTAGCACAATTTAAGGGATGGGACATCTATATTGATACACTTACTTTATTTATGCAGAATAATCTATTATAAATAAGGTCCTAGACTAGGAGAGGACGATATCTGGAGTCATTACAATAATTTAGAATAGTTGGGCAGAGGTTTATCTCTGTTGGAGGTTGCCTTCTAGGTATACCTTGTCGTTGTTATCTCTTTTTTTTTTCATTTCCGGAATAAAGAATAAAGATTTGCTATTCTGATTTAAGACCATCCTGCTTCTTTACTCTATCAAGTTGGTCCGACCTGCCGCTTGACGATGCCAGCAACTCGCATGGATGAACGAGTCGAAGCGTTAGAGAAGAGTCAGGATGCATTCCGTACAGAAGTCAATCAACAATTCCTCAGTATCCACGAATCCCTTTCCTACTTGACTGGGTTACTGAATCAATCATCACTGGCCAAAGGACAGTTTGACTCCAGCACTAACATTCAGGATGCTTCCACCCTGGATTCATCGAAGGAGAAGTCCACAGACACTACTCCCCATCCTCGAGCCACGTCTCTAGATGATTGTCAAATCCCTATTCACCATATCAAATTACCAATTTTCTCTGGTACAGATCCCATGGGATGGCTAGCACGGGCAGAACAATTCTTTGCCATTCACTGTACTCGAGAGGATTTGAAGGTGGCGACGGCTTTCATTAGCATGGAGGGCCCTGCTTTGCATTGGATTCAATGGCTTCAGCAACACAACCCCCTGCTCTCGTGGGTGCAATTCAAGAGCGAACTGCTCGAAGAATTTGACGGTGAACTGTCCGGCCCCCTGTTTGAACAGTTGGCAGCACTTCGCCAGGAAGATACAGTTGCTGATTTCACCAACGAGTTCCGGGCTCGGTTGGCACAAATCCCTGGCCTCGCATCACATGTTCAATTAGGATTATACCTAAATGCTCTTAAACCGGAAATTCGTGTAAAGTTCCGACCAAGTGACGTGGTTGATCTCCGGACAGCCATGAATGTCGCAAAATCTGTGGAACGGGAGTTGCTATTTTCAGCAACAGGTCGCCTCATGGGCGGCTTCAACAACGCTAAGGAAATTAAAATAAACTGGTCCTCCGATGTTGGGCAAAGTGGGATTGATGGGAGAACACCGTACGGCCCAACTAAACAGTCTTCCTTGTTTTACCCAAAGCCCCGGCCTGATAGATCCACCACTTCTCAGCCTGAAAAGCATCCAGGGGTGCACACCACTTCATCACACGGCCCACCACAACATTTTTCTTCTACTCTCCGACACCAGGGGCAACCTTCTGCGTCAAAACCAGTTCGCCGTTTCAGCAACCGTGAATATTTGGACATGCGGGCCAAGGGACAATGTTTTCGTTGTAAACAACAATATAGTCCTATGCACGTCTGCCCAAATAAATCGCTCCAGATCCTCATTGCAGAGGACGATGAAGATGAACTTTCCAAAGAGATGAACCCAACCGACTGCCTAGAGGTTGATCACCCGCCTGCAGACTCGTCCCAAATTTTTATCTGTGATCTGCCCTTGACAGCACTTGGAGGTATCGATGGACCCAAAACCCTAAAGTTTTTGGGTTGGGTCGCAAACCAGGAGGTGGTTATCATGGTTGACAGTGGAGCTAGCCACAACTTCATCTCGGAGAAATTAAAGGACCACATCAACCATCCCTTGAACGCCACACATCGCTTTGGAGTACGATTAGGAGATGGGAGACAAGAACAATCGTCGGGTAAATACTCACAGTTGCCGGTCAATTTGGGACCAGTTACAATGTCTTTAGATTGCTATTTGTTTCCATTGGGCGGCGTTGACATCATCCTCGGGATGGCTTGGTTGGAGACTCTGGGGGATGTCACTGCTAATTTTGCCAAGCAGATTTTAAAATTTAAGGTGGACGACCAGTTAGTGCAATTGGTAGGTGACCCATCTCTGTCTCGCCTACCCATGACGTTCAATTCTCTGGAACGCATGACTTACATCGATACTTGCTACCTCTTTTGGAGTTTGGATGACGTGTCTCTCTCAACTTATGAAGGTAGTGATATCTCCTTGGCTCAACAAACTCAGTTAACAACATTCTTACATACTCATTGCCAAGTGTTTGGAGAGCCACATGGTCTTCCCCCTTCACGACTACATGATCATCAGATCATTCTGAAGGATGGAACAACTCCAGTCAGTGTTAAGCCATACCGGTATGGGCATAGTCAAAAAAATGAAATTGAACGGTTGGTGGAAGACATGTTGCTTGCAGGTATTATACAACCCAGCTCTAGCCCATTTTCCAGCCCAGTTCTCTTGGTCAAGAAAAAAGATGGCAGTTGGAGGTTTTGCGTGGACTACCGTGAATTAAACAAAGCTACGGTGCCGAATAAATATCCCATTCCAGTCATACAAGAGATGTTGGATGAGCTCCACGGCGCCCGATATTTCTCTAAAATTGACCTTCGTTCGGGCTATCATCAAATTCGAGTGGCTCCTCAAGATGTGCCAAAAACAGCGTTCCGTACTCACTCAGGCCACTACGAGTTCCTAGTCATGCCTTTCGGATTGATGAATGCGCCAGCCACTTTTCAGCAAATTATGAATGACATTTTTCGTCCACACCTTCGACGCTTTGTCCTCGTTTTTTTTGATGACATATTAATATATAGTGTGACGTGGGAAGACCATTTGCAACATCTTACTGTGGTGATGGACATTCTGAAGCACAATCAGTTCAAGGCAAATGAAAAAAAGTGCAGTTTTGGAAAGACATCAGTGGAATATCTTGGGCATATTGTATCCCAATTCGGGGTAGCTATGGACCCTTCAAAAATCAGCAGTGTGCTTCGTTGGCCCCAACCGCAATCTTTCAAGGCTGTCAGGGGATTCTTAGGGCTCACTGGCTACTACCGTCGGTTCATTCGGGATTATGGTAAGCTTGCGCAGCCTCTTACTGCCTTGTTGAAGAAAGATTCTTTAGCCCGATTTCAATGGTCGCAACCTGCCCAATCAGCTTTTGAGGCACTGAAAGCGGCAGTAACCTCTGCTCCTGTTCTTGCAACCCCAGATTTCTCTCTACCATTTCTGATTGAATGTGATGCCTCCGGCACAGGGGTGGGGGCTGTTTTGATGCAAGGACTACGTCCTATTGCATATTTTAGCAAGGCATTGTCCGGTCGCACGTTGGCCAAATCTGCTTATGAGAAAGAATTGATGGCGCTAGTTTTAGCCATTCAGCATTGGAGGCCATATCTTATAGGCAGAAAGTTTGTGGTCAGAACCGACCACAGAAGCCTACGACATCTACTCCATCAGAGAGTCACCACACCCTCTCAACAAGATTGGATTTCTAAGCTCCTGGGATATGATTTTGAAATTACATACAAACCAGGGAAAACCAACAATGCAGCAGATGCATTGTCACGTCAGCATGAGACAATGCACTTATCTGCGATTTCTCTACCAGTTTGGGCGGATTGGAGTGAGTTAGAATCAGCTATCTCTAGAGATGCTTATTTGCACTCTATTTATGAGCAACTCCAGCGCGACCCCGCCAGCAGCCCACCATTCCAGTTGATTAATGGGCGACTTTTTTATAAGGGTCGAATAGTTCTCCCAGCCAATTCACCTTGGATTTCGAAGCTTCTAGAAGAATTTCACTCAACACCTATGGGAGGTCACTCTGGAGCCTATCGAACCTACCGTCGTTTGGCCGCGAATGTGTACTGGAAAGGAATGATGAAACGGGTGCAGCAGTTTGTATCTGAGTGTCTCATATGTCAAAAAAATAAGTATGAGACCTTGTCACCAGCTGGGCTTCTTCATCCACTGCCCATTCCATCTGCTATATGGGAAGACATTGCTATGGACTTCATCACGGGCCTCCCTCGCTCCAATGGATTCGATTGCATTTGGGTGGTCATTGACCGCTTCACAAAATATGCACATTTTGTGGGACTACGCCACCCGTTTACTGCCAGATCTTTGGCAGACGTGTTTGCCAAGGAAATTGTTCGCTTACATGGGGTACCACATTCCATAGTAAGTGATCGGGACCCAATTTTCTTGAGTAACTTTTGGACTGAATTTTTTGCCAAGTTAGGCACCAAACTGCGGATGAGTACGTCATATCACCCACAAACCGATGGGCAGTCAGAGGTTGTTAATAGGTGTCTCGAACAGTATTTAAGGTGTTTTACTTCCGAGCAGCCAAAGCAATGGGGTCACTACTTGCATTGGGCAGAATACTGGTACAACACTTCCTTCCAGGGAGCCGCGGGGTATACCCCTTTTCAGACACTGTATGGGCGAGCAGCACCAACACTAGCTCAATATTTACCGGGGGAATTTAAAGTGGCTGCAGTGGCAGATGATCATGAGGATCGCAATGAGATTCTACGGCAGCTCCGTTACAATTTGGAGCGGGCTCAACAGCGAATGGTTAAAGTTGCCAATGCCAAACGTCGCGACTTGGAATTTCAGGTGGGTGACAAGGTCCTCCTTAAGCTCCGACCGCACAGGCAGACCACAGTGCAGAAAAGGATCAATCAAAAACTGGCCCCAAGATATTTTGGTCCTTTTGTCATCATCCGTAAATTAAGTGCAGTTGCTTACAAGCTTGCACTTCCCCCATCAGCTAAGGTCCATCCCGTTTTTCATGTCTCCCAACTAAAACGAGTTACTGGAGAACATCCCGCTCTAGCAGAACTTCCAGAGGATTTGGTGGTTGAAGACCCAGTGTTCGTTCCTCATGATATTATAGCTTCAAGAAAAATGAATGGGGTCCATCAGGTTTTGGTTCACTGGGAAGGCAGACCTACCGATGAAGCCACCTGGATGGATGCTGCAGATTTTCGCGGTCAGTTTCCCCACACCAGCCTTGTGGACAAGACTGTTTCCTTGGACGGCGGCAATGATACACGTGCAAGTGGCTGGATAGTATATTCTAGGAAAAGGAAAGGCAATCAAAGGTTTATGGAAACAAATCAGGAGCAAATCAATAAGGAGACATAATATAAAGAAGAGCACAATTAGTGGGATTACTCATTAATGGCTACAGTAGCACAATTTAAGGGATGGGACATCTATATTGATACACTTACTTTATTTATGCAGAATAATCTATTATAAATAAGGTCCTAGACTAGGAGAGGACGATATCTGGAGTCATTACAATAATTTAGAATAGTTGGGCAGAGGTTTATCTCTGTTGGAGGTTGCCTTCTAGGTATACCTTGTCGTTGTTATCTCTTTTTTTTTTCATTTCCGGAATAAAGAATAAAGATTTGCTATTCTGATTTAAGACCATCCTGCTTCTTTACTCTATCAAAGCCGCACCCCGGAAAGGGTTAAAGCCGCTGACTTGGAAGCTGGTTCCTTGGCAATTTGTTGGATTTGCTTCGAATCTGTAGTAAACGGTGATAATATTATTGATGCACAAGAGTTCATCGTTGTGTGATTCTATCATGTCTTAAATTTGTGATTTTTACCTATTGTATATTTGTATGAACTTATTCGCCATGGTTTATTTCAACTCTGCTGCCAATGAAGAGCATCCCCTTTCCTTCACAGACACTGATTTTTGGTTGGGGATAAATAGAGGCTTCATAGCATAGTTAGTGATTAAATAGATAAATACCTGTTTTTCTCTTGATCGAGCTTTGTTGATTAAATAGATAAATACCTGTTGCTTCAGGCGAGAATGTCATATCTCCATGTTTATGCAAGGGTTCGCAACAGTTTGTGCACCGTCAATGTCTAAACTCTTGGCGGTCCATAAGAGTGAGATATACACATTCATACATACTTGTAGTTCAATACCATGAATTATTGTATTTGAATGTAAAGTTCTTATGTGGTTGTATAATTATTTGTGTAGGAGGGATTTGCATTTTCAAATTGTACTACCTGCCGGGCTCCATATCATCTGCGATATGTAGAGTTAGAGGACAAGCCTTGGTGGAATCTGAAGCACCGAATACTTGTGGCCAGGGATGCCTTCATTATGTTTTTGTGTGTACAGATTGTAAGTGATATGTTTAGCCACACGTTTACTTTTCTCATGTTATTTAGTTTTAAATTCCTAAAAATGTCAACAAAGCCAGAAACCCATAGTGTGGACTGTAGCTTTCAAAACTGACTTTTAAACACAAATAAAACAGTTCACGAGAAGTAATGCATGCACTACCATGACATATGTTTTTGAATGAATAATTAGATGTTATGCAATTTCCAAGAAGACCACATATATTTTCCAGTGCTAGTGACACTTCCTTTGATTGTAAGTATGTAACTAACTACCAAATGGTTTTAATGCCAAAAATGTATCACACATACGGAGTGCATTTTCTAGGACATTTTAAATAATATTCAGTTTATGGAAGTCACATTTCCAAACATCTTTACTCATTTCAAATGTCCATTTTTAGATTTTTAAATGATCTTTAATAGTACGCGTATTATGAGGTATTGTTTTGTTGTATTTAATATAGGTGAACAACTGTGGAAGCATTTTCCGAATTTGACACTTATGGTATTTATAGAATGCCTTGGATCTATTTCTTAACTTAATGAATTCTTACCTTTGTATCTTTACCATTACAGCTGATTGGGGTTTTTGGTGCCCTTGTAAGTTTCATGGATAGAGATGGAAGTTTTCAGGATGCATTTAATGACTCTTGGAAGCAAATGATTTCTAGACATCCAGTTTGCTTCTATTACAGCACAGGTGTTTGTTTTCCACAAACTTCAAACAGTAATCTAGGACAATCTAAAGCTTAAAATCTAAAGCTAAGGGATAAAACTTTGCGAGGCATATTTTTTGTAATTAAGTATAACTTTGATATTGTGAATGGAACAGGAACAATTGTGGTTTTTCTTCTTGCTGGGATTATTGGTTTTGCATATTATTTATGGGCAATCGACACTGAGAAGAGGGAAGAGTTCCGGATTGCATGTTTGGGTTGGATTATTTTGGAATGTGTTTTGACATCATCAAAAACATTCATTCCTCTGGCTCTTGCTTTAATATCCGCCTTTACTATTTTTGGTGTTGCATATGGTTTCTTTTTGGGCACATTGGCCTTCCATAAAAGCTGGCAGAAACACCGTGATGTTCTCTCAAAGCGATGCCTTACAGAGGTCCATTTCACCTCCCTTGATTTAAATAACAAGGCAGTAGTAGTAGCTGTCATGTAACAGTTCATATTATGTTTTTCTCTTTGACAATTGAATGTTGGCCCACCCCAAAGTCTTTTTGGACTAAGGCTTGGATGTTGTTGACAATTGAATGTTGCAGGAGTACGTAGTGGAGGATCTTCATGGCTATTACTTTGCACCGCCAAAATTGGATCCTGAACATGAAGAACGCTTGAGAGCACTTAAACTTATGTAGGCATGCAAAGTTAAGTGATTTTCTCTTTGAAAATGTGATTGATTTGTCTGCAGCAGCCGATTAGTTGTTTAAGTTTACCTATTTTGACATGGTTACTTGGTTAGTTCATAGAGAGGGGGGGGGGGGGGGGTTGACAACCTGTTTATGTCATATCCTGGTTCTTGCCAGTGAGCCTTTCCCTTTCATAGAGTTATAGATGGTGATGATGAATATTACTTTGTAAATAACAACCTGTTTGACAACCTGTTTATGTCATATCCTGGTTCTTGCCAGTGAACCTTTCCCTTTCATAGAGTTATAGATGGTGATGATGAATATTACTTTGTAAATAACAATGCACCCATTTGTAATGTTTTGTTTTGTATTGAACAAATAGAAAGTCATTTATCATGGCAGCGTCTTAATATTTGAAATTGCAATTGATGTCTCATGTTAACAGTCTCATGTGGTAGTGTAGAAATTCATTTGGCATTCATGGTACGAATGTCTCATCATGTTTGACCCCAAAACTTGTCGTGGCAGCGTCTTATGTTTGACGCTGCCAAAACTTGTCCATAACAGTCTCATGTATCATGGCAGCGTCGTACGAAGTCATTTATCGTGGCAGCGTCTTATGTTTGACCCCAAAACTTGTCCATAACAGTCTCATGTTAGCAGATCGTAATCGAGGTGGGCTAATTTTTTTTTTCTTCAAAAAAATCGAGGTGGTCTATAGATGTCAGTTGATTCGCATTTCCTTCGCTCATATGGTAGTGTAGAAATTCATTTGGCATTCGTGGTACAAATGTCTCATCATGTTCAATGCATTAGTCTTGTGCTTCTTTGGTGAATGTTTCTCACCAAACTTGTTCTTCTCACACATAGGGGTGGACTCGGGCCGGGTGGCCCGAACCGGAACCGGCCCGGCCTGGCACTGTTCCGGCCTGGTGGCCCGGTCAGTGACCGGTCCGGGTAGGCCCGACCCCCTGGGGGGCGGTCCGGGCTCGGGCCCCCCAAATCACGGCCCGGCCGGTTCCGGGCCTTTTTATTTTATTTTTCTATTTTTTTTACTTTTTGGGTTGGGCTGGGTATTTTGGGCCATTTGGGGTGGTTTGGGGGTGAGGGGGAGGGTTGGGGGTTAACTAGGAAAAGAGAGAAAAAAAATTAACTAAGGTCCGACCCGGAACCGGGGATTACCCGGGCTGGTTCCGGGCCCCCCATTCCTGAACCGGAGGCCCGACCGGGCCTAGGCCCGGCCCGGCCCCGAACCGGCCCGAGTCCACCCATACTCACACACATTAACGGCTCACGCAAACACAGTTTAGTAACACAATGAAGGATGAGAAGATAGGTGCCAAGCTCCCACCTGCTGACAAGAAAAAGATTGAGGATGCAATTGAGGAAGCCATCCGGTAGCTTGACAGCAACCAACTGGCAGAGGCGGAGGAGTTAGAAGACAAGATGAAGGAGCTGGAGGCATTGTACAATCCGATCATAGCTAAGTTATACCAGGGTGGTGGAGCTCCAATGGATGATGATGACGCTCCTCCTGTCAGGAGCATCTTTTTTCAGCTGCAAAGAAACATCTATTTAATTCAAGACATTTCAATAATTTCAGTGATTAAGACAACAACTCAAATTAAAATTGGATTAAAAAACATCCCTAACTTAATCTATCATGATTCAGATGCAAATCAGGTTTTGTTAATAATTCTTGCAAAGACTTATCACTTCAGTCCAAATCTAAAGAGTGGATATTAGCACATAAAAATTAAAATTGATTAAACAATTTACCAAATATGATTAGAAAAGGTTAATAAAATAATTATAGCTAAAGTTGAAGATATTAATAAACTAAATTGCAAAATAATTTCTGGACAAGAGGATAAGATTAAAATCAAAACTTAGTAAAATAGTTTTTGGAGAAGCTGGGCCAGTTTTGAACTTTCACCAGCAAAGTCATATACATATACAACAACAACTACTCACTATAAAGAGGGAGAGATAATATATGCAGATAAGTACCATCTAGCTTACCTGAATAAAAAATCATGGTACCTTGGAAGAAGCCATCCCTGCAAAACAACATGAGTAAAATAGTTATCTGACAATTTGAGTATATAATAAAATGTAAGCAAGTAAAGTATACAACAAACTGCCTCGGCTCTAATACTTGGTCTAGCGTCCCACATTAGAATATGTTTTTTTTGTTCAATCATGCAACCTATGGATAGTTTATGTTCAGATCATTGGAAATAACATTAGGTACAGATTGTTTGGTTTACTACGTTCAGTCTGGACAGTATCAGACTCAGTGACACCAGTACCTGAATTTCAAAATATATTGGGCTGAAGACCGGACGAATATAATTTCAGACCAGTTCAATATACTCCGCTAATTCAATATACCCTTATAATAGACCAGTTCAGTTTGGTCCAGTTTTCTGGTCAGGACTGGAATACGCTCACCTCTTATTGTTGTTTTATTAACCCGGAAAACTTATATATTTAAGAACCTAGAGCAATGGCTATTAGTGATATTATTTCTCTTTGGCTTTACCCTGAGAAGTTGTCACTATAAATTAAAGACAGTTCATTTCTAAAGCCTTTAAAGAAAGATAAACAATGTTAGACATCTAAAAGCATATAAAGAGTTATAAGAGACCGTGTTTGAGTAACCTTGAAGTTGAAGAATTCCACTTTAAAGAACGAGGAAAACAAATGCATGTGAAGTATAAGTTGTAAAGCACCAAGAAAACCAAATTAACTTAAAGACTTTGAAATGTTAGTTAATAAAAAAAAATCGATCAAGAAGCTACATATAAAGCCACTCAAAAGTGGCCTTCCAGAAGAGCCATTCAAAGATATGAAAAAGCCAGGAAGGAATTAAAATCTATCAGATAGATAAATATAGTTAATTTTAATATTTCATGTAAAACAGGTATGCTCTGTAAACATGAAGAAATGCTATATTAGGAGGTTTAAGAGGTTTTGTTTGTAATCAGATTTTAAGTAAGTGACAATAATGAATAAGGAAAACTTTTTTTTAACTTCCAATTTAAGTAAATGATTCGAGGAATTCCCTAATAAAATTTTGTCAGCAATTTGAAATTAGTAGTTATTTGGGACACGATTGAATAACACTTTGACATTTCTTGAATGTTCATAACATTTGGTTTTTCAAGGTATTGGTGTGCAGTGAAGCTTACAGAGTAGAAGTTTCGTTTCCTATAGGTTTATTCTGAATATTTTACTCCGAATGAAATGTGTCTAGCCAATTCATTGTGAGTAAGATTCAAAAGTATGTATGTTTTTTTCTATGTCTGGTGGATTAGTGGATAATAATAGCATGTGTATTGGAAAGAATGCGTGTGCAAACCATTAATGAAACATTTTAGGATTGCAAGTGAATGTATGAGTTTTTTCTCCCAGAGTCAAGGGTGTTTGAAATGGAAGAGATCATTGCACATGTACAACTGAATTCTGCATTCTTAACAATGGTTAAGGCATTTTATCGAACAGATGATGGACATTCATGAAATAACAGGTAAGAACGATTTGTGCACATAAATGTGAACAATGTGGTTTGGGAGCAGAGTCCAGACGAGTTGTAAGTGTAGGTTTTAGGAATAAAACTTTCTTGAATATTATTGAGCCATCGGCAGTGGTATTTATACAGAGTACAGATAACAACTTTGCTATTCAGATCCTAAAAAATAGGATCTTTCTATCTACGTGCTTATCTATTAATTAATGAAGTCTATCAGCAGTTTATCATCTCTAATTCTTATCTAATACACTACACCCGTACATTAAATAAAAATTACAAACACATGTCACATTTTCTACACGCCCCCTCAAGTTGGTAAGTATATATCATACATTCCTAACTTGCTTATAAGTAGTTCAAACACTGGTTTGAACAATCCCTTTGTGAAGATATGAGCTGTTTGTTCTTTTGTAGATATGAATGGAGTACACACAATCCCAGCCTCAATCTTTTCTTTAATAAAGTGTCTGTCAACTTCAATATGTTTGGTACGATCATGTAGCACAGGATTATGAGCAATATTAATGGTTGCCTTATTATCACAATATAACCTCATAGGTAGATCCATCTTCATTCTCAGTTCTGACATTACCCTCTTGATACATAGTAGTTCACAAATTCCATTAGCCATAGATCTAAATTCATATTCTGCACTACTCCTAGCAAACACATTCTGCTTCTTACTTCTCCAAGTCACCAGATTTCCCCATACATAGGTACAATACCCAGAAGTAGATCTTCTATCAGTAATTTCCCCCTACTGTTGTTCTTTCTAAAGTATAATCCTTTCCCAGGACAGCTTTTCAAATACCTTAGAATTATGTAAGTTGCATCAAGATGTTCCTGGAATGGATTGTGCATAAACTGGCTAACCATACTAACTGCAAAAGCAATGTCTGGCCTTGTATGTGCCAAATAAATCAATCTTCCCACCCATCTTTGATACTGTTGAACATTAACTGGAACTCCCTCTTTGACATCTCCCAACTTTTGATTAGGATCAATAGGGGTATCTATTGGTCTGCATGCACTCATACTTGTTTCTTGCAGAAGGTCTAGTACTTACTTCCTCTGTGATACCACAATTCCTTTTTTTGATCTAGCTATCTCCATGCCAAGAAAGTACCTCAATTCTCCCAGATCTTTGATTTCAAATTCCTGGGCTAGTTTCTCCTTCAGACTTGCAGTTTCTTTATAATAATCACCTGTAAGAATGATATCATCAACATACACAATTAGTACTGCAATCTCCCCCTCACTTGAAAATTTCATAAAAAGAGTACGATCAGCTTGAGCTTGCTGAAATCCCTGTCTCTTTATGAACTGGGTGAACCTCTCAAACCAAGCTCTTGGGGACTGTTTAACTGTTTAAGCCCATACAAGGCTTTCTCCAATCTGCACACCTTTGAGCCATATTTGCCCTCAAAACCAGGAGGAGGACTCATGTATACTTCCTCTTCAAGTTTACCATTTAAGAAGGCATTCTTCACATCTAACTGCTGAAGTGGCCAGTTTAGATTAGCAGCTAAAGATAAGAGAATTCTTATAGTATTTAGTTTTGCAACTGGGTCAAAGGTTTCAGTATAGTATATGCCATAGGTTTGTGTATATCCTTTGGCAACTAACCTGGCCTTATACCTTTCAAGTGTTCCATCTGCCTTGAATTTAGGAGTAAAAACCCATTTACAGCCTACAGTAGGTTTGTTCTTGGGTAACTCTACAATCTGCCATGTCTGATTCCTTTCAAGAGCATTCATCTCTTCCAAAACTGCTTTCTTCCACTCAGGTTTAGATAGAGCTTCCTGTATGGTTAAGGGAATTGCAATAGAAGAAAGACTAGTGGTAAAGGCTGCAAATGATAAGGATAACTGGGAATA